CCCACTGCCTGTGTCTCCCATCCCCACTGTGGCTTCCTGCAAGCTGGGCTGCAACAGCCAGGGCAGACGCTACCCCTCTTGCTGAGATGTTTGCAGTGATACGTGTTTTCAAAGCAGCTCATCACAGAAACAGCCAYGTGCTGTTTCCAGGACTGCAGGCAAGAGAAGGATTCCAAAGGATAAACCACGAGCTGTTGTTTGTGGGTTTTCTAAGAGCTGCACAGATGGTGTCCTGCCACAGCACTCGGTGAGAGGAGCGTTCAGGAGGAGTGTTCAGTCCAGGTGAAACCCTTGGTCTGTTCTCCCTTCCCAGGCAGCGAGGAGCCAGAGCCGGCACCGCCCAGGACAACTCACCCCTCTGAAGACGCGTCCCGGGGGCACCTCGCTCTCAGGGCACTCCTGGGCAGGCGAGACCAACGCTCCTTTCCTCATTTACAGGAGCAAAACAAACAGCCCTTGCAAGGCTGGAGCTCCAGCAGATTCATACGCCGAGCAAGGCAAACAGTTGGAGAGAGGCAAAGACTGAGAAAGCGCTGCCCCATCTGCGGCACTTGGCAGTGGGAGCGATGACTCGCGGTGCCAGCAGCTGCCCGAGCGCAGCGACCCCCAGGGCACTTATGGCCAAGGGGTGGCAGCAGCAGCGGGCGGGCAGCCCACGGCCCCACTGTCGTAAACACCCCCTCCTTCTATAAACTAASAGCATCTCTCACAGCACCGACCTGGGATTGACAGCCCAGTTCTTACAGGAGCTACTGGGGCAAATTTGGATAACCAGGATATAAGGGCAGCTTTATCCAGTAGTTTACAAGGAACCCTCAGGAAATGGTTATCTGAGAAGCACGCAGGAGCATTCAAGGCTGGTGCATTTGGTAGAGTGGAGGAAAGAAGGGCAAATAGTGAGGTGTCGAGGGCAAGCACGTGGAAAAAAAAAGTAAATATATATTATGTTAAATTTATTAGAAATATTTAATTCACTTCAGGAAATTAACAAAAAAAACAATGCAACACTTTCAAGACAAAAGCTGAGTTTGTCTTAGAAAGAATGGTCATTAGCAGCATGCTTTTCTGGAAGAAAACCAGCTGACTTTATACGAAACAAAGGGTGTTTTAAATAAAGGACATAGCAATAATCTGTTTAAAGCTATATTCAYATCAAGGAAGAAGGGCTGTTGTAGTGTAACAGGTGTAGGATGGGTTTTGCAAAGCTGTACTTTCTTATTCTAAAAAATGGAAGGACCTGATTCTTTACAGTATGTTAGCAAAAAACAACATAAATCTCCCCTCTTCCTCTCCCCCAGTCCTTTTGTGCAATATTTGCCATCTTCAATAGTAGAAACAGCCAAATGCAGCCACCACACAAAACAGGCTGTCCTGGAGAGAAGCAGAGRAAGGCTCTGTGTTAATAAAGGCAATCTCTTTGCTGGGTTAACTCAGGTCTGATGTTTTGACCTGAAGCCTAAAAAAAAATGTCAAACTTATGTGGTAATATGGTTTGTCTTTTAGCTGGTGCTCTGACCATGGAGGCAGTACAGTAAGTGAGGAGGTTTTAAAAGAAATCCTCGACTCCTCCTTAGTCCTGGATTCCAGCCAGACTTTTCTACAGGTTTTCATTTATGTTTCAGCATTGCCAGTGCTTTCACTTCCCATCTGTAAAATTGAGATGATGTACTGACTTCTGCACAGTACTGTGTGCTCAAGAAATTAGTTTTGCTCTACTGTGTATTATATCTATGTAAGTTTTGTGAATGAAGATGTGCATCATACTCCTTTGACACAGCGTTAGTTCCTTCCAAACGGTCTAGTGATTGCTTTTGTGTGTTCCACATTGTAAGATCACTCTGTCACACAAGCAGCAGCTTTATACTTCTCCATGGTTAAACAGCCAATACTTACATTCATAAAAACATCATGAGCGTAGCTGTCGGTGTCAGCATCCCAGAAACATCGTGCAGCCATGCTAGATAAAGCAGATGGAGCAAAGTCATTATCCACACAGTGCCTGAGTATGGACCTAAATCACAGATACTGTCCCTGAAAAGCAACCTGAGCTTCCCTTAAAGATAAAAGGAACCAGAAGCATTTTCTGAGCCTAGATCCCTACTGCTGAATGTACTGTATCCCTGTTCTGTAACTCGCTGTACCCTGATCAAGCTGCATTTCCTGACCCACTGGCTGTCAACGCTGCCATCTCCACCGAGCAGCAAATCTCACAGCTCTGGTGCTTAACGATCTTGTAATTTCTGGCTTGTGCATATCAGTGCCTAATTTAGCCTCCTTGTCCTTCACCTCCAGCGCCCTATTTATTTATGGGTCGCTATCATATTGCTTGGCAGCCTCTGTGTTCCCAGGCTGCGAGCTGAGCTTTTCCAGCTCTCTGGCCCGCACCATTCTGGGGGCCCTCGTCTGCATCTGCTTCAGTCTTTTCTCATTCCCCTTTCTCTACTGACTGCAACTGCCCAGCTTTTTGTCTGTCCCGGTCAGTCTCAGCCAACAGGCTCCCTGTTTGCTGTGCAGTGTAATTCCTAGTCCCTATATGTATACCTGATTTTTTTTTTTTTTTGAATTTCATCATTTTTCTCTCACTTTAGCCCTCAGGATCATCCTGCTTTGCTGTCCARTATTCCAGTCCTCCTCTGGAAAGTCTCATTTTACAACATTTTGCACCAGGAGTATTTGATTGTGCCTTAACCCAGCCTCCTGCCTATTGCAAAACGGAGAACTTCCCCAACTGCTCCTTAGAGTCCACGTTGCTGGGGTGGGTATTTCGAATCCAGGCGCCTTTTGGAAGCGCTCCCTGCGATGCTGCTCTGGAGCAGCTGCACACAGATCCTGCTGGCAAAGGCCTCATTGACACGTACAGATGTTGCTGTCTGACCTCAGTAACATTGAAGTGGCAGATGTGATTACTGCTCTGCTGCACTTACCTTATACTCTAGTACTCAGGCACAGTATTACGGATAAGCCCAGCAGGTTAAAGCACACACACCTTGCGGGCTGCTCCCTTTTGTTTTCTCCTTACTCAGCATCATGGAAAGCCAAAGCCCATTACAACTGCAGGCCTCCAGGGCTTGATTTCAAGTACTCAGTACCCACAGTTGAGGCTAATTTTCCAAGACAATACAGCACAGAGGTTATAGAAATTCAGACTTCTGAAGAAAAAATGCTTATTTGGGGGAGATTAAATGAGAGGGAAGTACTTGTGTCTAAATCCTGATTTAAGGCTCGATTTCAGTAAATGAGTTAGCATGGTCTTTTACTCCATCTGGGCTTTGATAACAGATTGGATGTATCCTCTACTCCATCGTGAACATGAGGTAAAATGTCTTCCTGTAACGCTCCTCTCAATTGCTCCTCAGCAATTCACCTTGCTAAGAACCACCATATAGTCCAKTAGCACGGCCCAACTGACTCGCAGTAACTCAGCCACAGGAAGGAAAATGTCCCTCCAAGCTCTCACTTGCTTACAGACATTTCAAGTACTTTATATTTTAGCTCCTGAAGATACATTTTTGTATCTAGGAAATAAAACCAAATCAAAAATATAATACAAGCAATAAAAGTGCAATCGGAACGACTGAACTTACTTCACTCCTTCTCCTCTCTGCTCTCCAATCACAACCTGCACAACCATTTTGTATCTGTCAAATCCTTCATCTGCGGAAAGAAAAAGTTAAAMCAACAATTTAAAACATTGTGTTTATATTAAAGATGAAAAACACAAAATGGGACACAGAGAGCTAAAGATTTGTTTCCAAAGTAGTGTCCTATTCAACATAAACTACATGCAATTGATAAAGTGGATAAACTGCCTCATGGCTTCATTCTCCTACAGATGAGAACACAGAGCAGCACAGCCTTCTCGGAGATAAAGGATGAGCAAGGTGGTTGGCATCCTTAAAAAAGGTGTATTCAAGGAAGAGGATGTCCCTGAACAAACACAATAAATTTATGTCTTCTAGTTCTGCAAGTTTCAATACCTGAAAACATGAAGCGAATGTAAATAAATAATGCTGGTGGACAACGTCTGGTTTAAAGAAATTGGCTTGTTCTGATGCAAASGAATTTTAAAGATTTTTCTGCCACACAGAAAGTTTCTTCTACTTCTGAGCTGGGATAAAGTGCCCYATAAAAACATATGAATGTTTAAGTTGTTGTGTCTGCAGAAATACRTGATTCTTTCACTATAGCAAAGAAAATAGTCTAGGGGGCAAATCAAAATAAGCGTGTTTAAAATAAAATGCACATCCTAATGCCTTTGTACTCAACAAAGTAGTATTCTGGGGAGATTCCAGCACACTGCTTCCGCAGGGAGACTCAAGAAGACCTGCTGCCTCTGGTAGCAAGGGCCTCAGAGGTGGCAGCAGGTACCGTGGCCACACGAGGCCAGTCTTGCTTCAGGCTACTCGAAGGGTGTTTACAGACTGCCGAGGCCAAACTCTGTGTATATTAAAGTGGCATCAACCCGTGCTGGGACTACGGCTGCTGCTTATTTTAGAACAGATGCACAACTCCAGGAGAAGGGAATGCCCACGGCCCGGGTGGGGGGTGATGCTCCTTCCCCACAGCTGCTGCCCCCAGCCCAGCAGATGGAGCCCCAGCCTGGAGCTCGTTGGGAATCCAGTGAACAAACCTGTGATGCCAACTTGCATTTCTGTGCTTGTGCCAGCACAGAGAGCAGGAAACACCTGCTTCATCCTGAAATACGTCACGGCACTTCAAATGCTTGGAGGCATCCTGCATGGCACAACACCGACTTTCTCCAGTGGGGCAGGGCAGCACTCACACCCATCCCTGACTCACAGCGCTACTAATTCCTACCCCTTCACTGCTCTTAATGGGCCTTGTTTTGATCTCCCTGTGATTCCACTGTGACCCAACCCTGCTCTAATTTACAGGCAAACAAAACACAACAACAACAACAACAAAAAAACAGGGCTGATACTGTTTAGTGGAACAAGAGGTAAATAAACCTCACTTATCCTTCTGCTAATGCATCTTTTCCTCTGGAATCTCTCCAAGACTGATGTCTCACACTAGCTAGTCTACATGAAAACACATTTGTCTGTTCCTCTAGGCAGGGAACATATGTATATAGGCCAGGTTGTTTCATAACAATAGACTGGAGTCAGTCAATGGAAGAAATAGGTTTCCATAATAGCAGAGGAAAGAGGGAGAAAATAAGAAGAGAAATAACATCCCAGCAAACCTCCTTACCTTTCAGTCGATCTTTTATCGTCTCTGATAAGGATTTTGTAAGTTGMGGCATTTCTTCTGGGACATACTGCACATTGGTCAACTTCTCTTTCAGTATTGCATGGATACATTCTTTCACAGCAGAAGGTTTAAATCTAATAGGGCAAACAGCAAGCAACAAAAGACTCAGGAATTTCAGACAACGTATAGAAACAGAGAAAAATCAAAGTTTTTCTTTGTTTTCCCCCACAACTGGAGCCATTAAAAATTAAAAAAAAAAAAAAAAAAAAAAAAGTGGGAGAAAAAAAGGAAAAAAGCACACAGAGGTTTCTTAATTGGCCTTGGTACCACCAAGAGGCAACTCTCAGCATGGTGAGAGTTTCCATGGAGGAGAACCTGCTGGGTGCTCAGAGACAGCTCTTGCAGCTATCTGCACCCCTCAAGTCCCTCCTGCTGCTGGCACAGAGCACGGTCCGTGCGTCCAGCAAACCCCAAACCCCAGCTCTGCCCGTGCCCCCAGCCCCGCACTGCTGCCCCACACCCCCAAATCCCTGCGGCACCCCACGCCTGACATCCCCACCCCACAGAGCCCCCGGCCTCGCAGTTCCAGTCCCCACATCCGCACCCCACATCTCTGGGGCCCTCCACATCCCCCCGGCTCCGGGCCCCCCCAGCCCTGCACCGACATCCCCATGGTCCTCGGGCCCCACATCCCTGCGGTCTCCAGCATTCCCATTCCCAGTGGTCCGCCCACCGGCGCTGGAAGCCGGGCCGCAGGCTGTACGTGTTGCCGGCCTCGCCGTCCGGGCCCAGCTCGCCCATGGCGGCGCCAGGCCCGGCCCG